TATATAATTATATATAAAATATTTTTTCCCGAGCATAAATAAATATAAAATAAATTTTCAATGAAATCATTTTTCAATTAAAAAATATTCTTAAAAGCAATAAATAATTAAGAAGTTATAATTTTTTATTATGTATATATTTGCGATATCTCACATATAATACAATTGATACTATTACTTTCATATTTGTATAAAAAAATTCATATAATATGACGGAGCGATGGAGAACCGGTTCACGAATTGAACTTTCTTTTTTGGTACCGTTTATGAGAATCCCTTATAAGGAAAAAAGAGCAGTTCTCAATATGCAATGCAGGTGTAAGTAAGTGACTCGTATATCGATGTCGCGTCAGCGACACAGCTCCGATGGAAGAGGGAAGGGACAGTTTGTTCTGAAACAGAGCGAATCTCACTGGATATCCCAGCCAGTGTATCACGTACCACACGCTCGTCAGCGTCCTTTTCGGTACGACCGCGTGCGGTACAGAATCGGTATCATCCGGTGCCGTCACCTGCAACCAGGTTTTCGAATTGCGCAGAAAAACGATTAACACATTTTGCGATACGGTAATTCGCAAAACACTCACGATATTAGTCTTGTTGCATAGACAGAGTTACACTGTAAAAAATAAAATGTTAATTTTAACTTATAGTCGTATAGTGGATTTTCTGAAACAGGCAAAAATGTTAAAATTAACACAAAAATGTTAATTTTAACATTTTTGCGTGTTTCAGAAAGTCTACTATACAACTATAAGTTAAAATTAACACACATTTTATTTTTTACAGTGTAATTATAAGAGTAATTATGGGCAGCGAGGTGAATTGTGGAATTATGGAATTTTCCAAAGATAAAATTTATATAATAAAAAACAATTGTACAACGTTTTATTTATAATTAATCTAATGTGCAATTACTGTAATGTGCAATTATTTTAATAAGCAATTATTCTAATACATTTTACATTTGTATAATTACATGTTTGATATTATAAGTTTTATCACTGAGAAGATGCAGCTGTCATTATGTATACTGCAACATTATGCAATATACATAACGACAGCTGTAAAGTAGCAGCAATAATTAGTTAGATAATAACAGCTGTAAATTAGATAATGGAAACTAATTAGTTTATTTTAAATAAGAATGTCCATATGTGTCACGATCGCTGTGCACGATCATTTTATTTTGTGAAGTAATTTTTGGTTAAACGATTTTCTTGACTAATTTAATTGCGACATAGTAATAATAATTGCTAAATTGGATGTACATTATATCTAAACCATCGGATAGGAGATTAAGTTCAGCTTTAATGTGATACAGTGACCGTGACGCGCACAAGGGTGTGTCTTTGGATCGATAAAAGGTTCGGCACAGTGCCACAATTTTAATAGAGCTAAAAAAAAGCGTAGCTTCTGGATTATCGCAAATAAAGAATTATTATTAAAAAGCTGGGAGAACGGATTGCCTGCAAATAGTGGTTTTTTTATTCTCTTCTGTGCGCCTTAATCCTTTTAACTGCTACATAAATGTGTATAGAGTTTAATCGTGGAAAAAATTCAAAGGATTGTAAGGGTAGATAGTTAAATATCAAATAATTAAAAAAATACTCACTAAGTCGAAAAATCAACCCTGTCAGAAATAATTTTCAGTTTTGATAGAGCAAGTGATTTGTATGGTATTTACATACATATATATGTCTTTTTTTATATACATTGATTCTTGTTGTCAATTTACATACAATATAAAAGCATTAACAAGTAAAATTATGGAACAATTATTACTTCACAAATTATTTCGTATTTTCTGTCGGAATATATAGGAATAAAATTCTTTGTTGAATATGAAATCGCGCTCTGCAATTTTGCGTTTCAGCAAGTCTTTTTGTGCACCTTCTAGTATATTTATTTACTTTGCAACGTGATAATGTCTACATGTTCACAGACATTGAACATCTGCTTTGTAATGGATTTATATCGACCATCGTGTTGTAATGAATCGTGCGGTGCACGATTTCTGATGGTAATAAAAGCTAAAAATGATAACACAAATACGTTGAGCTGGCATATGTACGAATATACATGACTACGGTACCGGTGGCAAAATACAATACACACTATTTGCAACAATAATTGTTGTCGCGATAACTAGTGTCGTAATTCAATGATTCTGACTCCGCGCCAATTAAGTCGACCATGACATAGTAGAAAGTTGTTTTCACAAAACACGACAGATCCAATTTCCTTCAAGTGATTATAAAAACTAATAAAGACACGGCCGAATAATCGCGACTCGTATTATTTCACGCCGAGTTATTAGATGATGTCACGACGATCCCGGATTCTGCTTGTTTACAAATCAGCAAAATTGCGTGTTTATTATAATTGCGTATGATTACAGACAATTGTTGGAACCGATTGTCGGCACGCAAAAATCATAACAATAGAAATCATCGACAGACGGAACTTCTTTTTAAGATCCAAGCAATTTTATCAGAGTAATATTGATCTTCAGATGGAACTGTTTGGCAGTTGTCCCAAAAATCAATCAGTAGCACATTTTAGACATTTGGTGTAAGTTAAACATCCAACAGATATTCAATAAATATTTTGATACAGTATAAGATTTATTGCATCGTCTTGAATAAAAGTAGGTGAAGAGAATTCTAGATTCTACAATTTTATAGACAAATAATATAGTATATTTTATAATATAGATTACAATGTAATATAATATATTAATATATATAATATCATATATAATATAATATATATAATATATTATTAAACTTTTTAATAAAACATTTTAAGATCTATGTATAACATTTTTTTATTTCATTTCATATATAGATTCTATATGAAATGAAATAAGAAAATGTTATACATAGATCTTAAAATGTTTTATTAAAAAGTTTAATAATAATTAATCTAGATAAATTATAACAAAAATATGAAATGTATAAGAAACAATTTTACCGATAAGTTTGCATCTCAAAGTGCTGTCTGCTCATATTAATATAACCTTGACATCGTATATATTACATATATACTTTTTATTTATATATATTTTTTAAATGTTTATGAGCATTGATTATTTCAGTAATTTTGAATTTATCACCTTTTTTGACGATAGAAAGAATCATTATAGGAAGATTTCCTTTACCTACACAAAAAAGATAATAAATTCAAATTAAATTCAGATAAACACACATAAAACATTTTCGGACCTATGTTTGTATAATATTTTTTTTCTCTTCATCTTACAGAACATATTAAAGTTTATGAAAAATTCGGGAACACTCTGTATAATTTGAGTGTTGAATTTAATTTGGAATATATTTTTTATTTATATATATTTTTTAAATGTTTATCGATATTGATTATTTCAGTGATTGATTTATAATTAATTATACATACCATATATAACAAATCTAACAAATTAATATGACAAATTAATTATTATTATTAATGTACTAAATTAATATTAAATATATTAAATTAATGTTAATGTATTAAATTAACATTAATAAATGAGAATTATAATAGGTTCTTATCAAAATAAATCTTTTAAAGAAATAAACTCTTTCTTTTTCTCTACTCCGCATATACAGTACTGTCCATAAGTGGTATACAATACGATCATTCAGAAAGATAATCCACCATATGAACAACGACTTTAACCTTCCTACAGTCATAACTCGCGCAACTTCGATAAGAATCGGCGTCATCGTGACACTGACGATAACAGTGCAGAAAAAGTGAGGTTAACCAGTGAGAACGAAGTTTCATATTGTCAAGAAGACATGTGGTCAATAGAATAAATTGGACTCTACCGATTGTTGCCAAATTTCCGATAGCTCGCAGATCTCATCGGAATAAGAATTTTCAAGTGTACGAAAATGAATTCGTATGGATGGAACAGAGAAATAACCGAGCCAGAATTCGTCCGACAAGAAACAAAGAAGATCGAGGTGAGTATACGACAATGTATGACGTATCTTACATATTTCGAGAGTTTTGAAGCATCTTGTACAGCAGCTGACAATTGCAAAATTGCAACGGCTAATTTCGAACGGTTTAAATGGTCTTGCTAATTAGACGTCACAAGGACGCTCACCGGAATCATTGGTAATGTCTGTCGTTTTAAATCGCGCGCATGCTGGATCAAGGTTTTCAAAATGGCGGCGAATTTGAGACGAGCGTAACCATTGGCTAGATTTAAGGATGACAACCAATCGCGTTTAGCCGCTATAATGGCTGCGTTCCACTTGACGCTCGCAACGCTCGTGAGCATCGTTTGTCCTTGTTTAACATTTGATAAACGACAAGGATAAAATGATTCCACGAGCATTGTGAGCGTTAAGTGGAACGCAGCCAATGTGACAGTGAGGTTTGTCGCGTCGCATGCTCCAACATGCTCCAATATGCTCCTACCATAGCTCTAAAGTTGGTTCTACATTAGTCGCATCGCAGTGTCGCAAGCATGTCGCAGCGTTGTGTCCAATCAGAGTCGAGCTAGATTGATGTTAATTGGACCGCAACGCTTGCGACGTTGCGATGAGACTAATGTAGAATCAGCTTTACTCACTCCTACGTGCTTGGTAGAGTAAGTAGGAGATATGGTAGAAGCATGTTGGAACGTGTTGGAGCTTGCGACGCGACAAACCTATGATCTGTTTTTTATTATTCCGACACTAAACTAGAATTTCTTTCTCATTTTCGTCAGAATATATCGAACATATATCTATCTCACTTTAAGTTCCAAAAGTGTGTACATATACTCTAGCCAGCTGTAGAAAACAGACGTATAGAATCCGAAAGTCGCCACTGAAAGGTCTCCATCGAGCCAATCAAGATCATTTCGAGAAACGCATACTGACGGAGTGGTGTACATACACACCTGACGCGTGACGTGCGGAGGAAGAGCAATGGGTGTGGGTTAATGGTTATCCTCGTGGGTGAACCCGACGTAGAATCTGTCAGGTCGTAACGGTTTCGCGTCCGCGTCGGAGTATCTTCTCGCGCTTCGTAATCCGTGCCTGTTAGAACGTGACGGATATCGAGGCATTCGAGACAACATCGGGAGTTCGAGCTGCGTCGTTCGCTCGAACGATCGGTGTTTTCGAAATCATTTGGGATTCAATTTGGATTTGGGCGTAGCTGAGAAGAAAAAGAGAGGAAAACAAGTGCGATGAGTTACTACGGTGGTTACGGCGACGGAGGTGGCACCGAGGAGGATGTGTTCGTTAAAACGGCGGTCGAGATCAAGCGATTCCTACCGTCGCTCTTCAATATCAAAGTGGTACGCTTATTTGTCTCACAGAGGCAAAGAGCCGGCAGCCGATGAGTCATGAAGCATCTGTTTCTTCACTAGTAGATAGATCTTTGAATTTTTCTTAGAACCTGTGTTGTCAAGACGAATATTTGTTGAAATAAATCTTTCATTGTCTGATGTATTTTTCAAGTTGCAGCGCATAGATATCGATTCCTATTTTGTTTTTCTTCATTATAAATTACAAATTATAAATTGAAATAAATTTTAATTAAATTATTATTTATTAAGAATAAATTTATTAAGAAAATTTTTAGTTTACTTTCTGAATAATTAAAAATAGTAATTTTTCTAATTTTAGATTCTATCAAATTGTTTCTCATGTAAATAGCTAAGAAATAGATAAACGATAGAAAAATAATCATAATTAAAGAATTGGATTACTTTTATTTCCGATATCTTTTGATATAAATAATCAGAAAAATTATCGATAAATGTTTTACCAAAAATAATATATATATATATCTACGAGATAAACTGCTTTGTTGTATTTTACTACAAGCACAACTTAATATATAAATAATCTTTAAATAGAGCTTGAAAATGAGCCAGCTTAACCGGTTAAGTGGTATTGTAGCATATATGCACAAAAAGAATCCGTGCCAAAAGTGGTATTGTAGCATATATGCACATCTTGAATAACTTCTATATTATTCAACGAATTTGCTTGAAATTTGGTATACTATTGTTTTTTGGGCTTCTGAACTCGATTTTGGCGTCAAATTTGTAAAATTTGATGGCGAACACAACATGGCGACTAATACGTTGAATGAAAATGGCGATTTTTGTATATATATTGCAATTACGTTTTACCCCCGCAGTTTATATACGAAATGAAATCAGCGACCCAAAAAACCCCCAGGGCCAAATTTTGGTATATTTTAGTTCACAATTGACGCCTACCACTTTTGGCACGGAATGTTTTAAAAAGCCTACCACTTAACCGGTTAAACATTTTCACATAAAATCATGTAACTTGTGCATAGCATATTGGAATAAAATGTAACACCGAGAAAAACGCACGATTGATCAATTCCTCTCATTTAACACCTCCTATTTTTCCTGCTTCAGAAATACTTCGCAAATTTATCGAAAAATCTACATTAATCTTGAATGATCTTTCACAATGTGAATACTAAAATTCTCTTTAATTTAATATCACACAATTATTCACGTCTTTTGTAATATACATCGCATGCAAGATATTCTAACAATACCAATGGTGATGGCAATAGTGATGACGACATTGTACGAGAAATGTGTAACTGATACAATGCATTCTTGCACGATACGTATTCATTCATTAGAAAAAATTATGTGCGTCATAGCATGCGTCATACAATAGTATTCATGTCCATGTGTGTGTTTTTACAAAACATAAATTATTTAAATTCTAATGTTAAAAATTTTGTTCACGTATTGAAAAGTTGAAAGAATGACAATGAAATAGAATCCGGGAAAAAATGTTATGGATATATTTTATATATAATTATATATAATTGTATATAAATTGTATGTCAATTTTTTATATAATTATATACGAAACATTTTTTTCCCAGGGTGTAAACAATAATTAAAAAGTTATTAAATAAATTGGTAAAATATTAAATAATTAAATAGATGCTTATATGTATAATAAAAATATAAATAAGTAGCACAATAAATAATTTACTAAATTAATTTCGTTAAAATTGTTTTCTTATTTGCAATACTTGTTTATAATTCAAAACATAATTGGTTTAGTTTATCATCTGCATGTCATTCAGAACCTTTTAATACGATAACTTTTGTGTATCAATTTATGTTTAAATTAATTATTGACAATGTATACAAGTTGAAAACAGTTCAAAAGAAGATCGGAACTTTTCCTTTCGACTGCTGAATTCGCAAAAATTGTTAATATTTAGATATTTATGCACTTTGCATTTCATTTCATAGCCTACTTTGATTAAGTTCAACTATCGAATGTTTTGATATTTTCAGAACCAATAAAAAATAATTGTATATAAATTGATAAAATAAAATAAAAATATATTTTGACGCAGATATTTATTATATATATTATTATATTGACATAGATATTTATTGGTTAATACACTTTGTAATACTCATTGTAATGCATTTCTGCATCACACCGTGTATTAATTTGTTATCTTTTCATGTACGCGCAGTTGTTCACATATCCTTATTAAATAATATCGCAATCTAAATTGCGGTTCATTGTCTTCCGGTATAGTTATCGTACCACTATTTCCACAAACGATAGCTGTATCGAAGCTATCTGATAAAGATATCTGTTCCAAGTTCGAACAATGAAACTTGTCTCATGATAGTGAATAGTTTCGCTTCTCATTTTGTATCGGTTGCACGTTTTCGAGAAGAGACCTGCTTTGCTTACGTGACGATTTTTTTCTGCATACGCGTTTATTCTTTTCTATGCATGTAAAACGATCCGCTTCTCTTTGTTAATTCACCGATATGGATTCACGACGTAGCAAATATACCAATTACCGCTACAAAAATTACATGCAAGAAGGTCTGGCGGTTCTGAAAATCGGATCTAGTGTCGAATCTACAAAATTGACGAATAATAAGATAATCGGCAAGAACAATAATATTCTTTACTTAGCCAAACGCGAGTCTGTTCCTAAAAATTCGGCAACAAACTTGCCAAACAAGTCCCGCGATGCTACAACGTGGAATAAAAAATCTTTTGAAGATAAAGGGATACGAACAACAAAAAATTATATTGGAAAACCCTGCTATAATGTAGGCCAAAATCGCAATTTTTTTCCCTTTCTTTCTTAAAAATAGATCCGCGTATGCACGACTTCATGCACAAACTGATGTTCGCAGTTAGGGGAGAAAGGATCCGGCTTCAGACCACGAGGGGAAGTCCAAGACTTCAATACCCTGAGACGAGAGTGCCTGGAGACAGGAAGACTCTTTGAAGATCCTGAATTTCCAGCCAATGATTCGTCGCTGTATTTCTCCCGTAGACCGGATAGATACATAGAATGGAAACGACCGATGGTTAGAAATCTTTTGAATTATCCTAAGTTTTATTAGCTGCCGTCGACAATAATTTACAAATCAAACACGCGAGGAGAATGGTCTTAACGTGACCTACAACGCGCTAACTTCGCAGGAAATCGCGGACGATCCTCAGCTCTTTGTGGAGGGTTTTTCAAGATTCGATGTTCAGCAAGGAGAACTGGGAGACTGTTGGTTGCTGGCCGCAGTGGCGAATCTGACCATGCATTCGAATTTGTTCTTTCAAATAGTGCCAGAGGATCAGAGCTTCGAGGAAAATTACGCTGGAATCTTTCACTTCAGGTTTGCTCGAACGCATGCAGTTTCATAAACAACGCTTTTCCGACGTGGCAAAAAATAATTTAATTTACATTCTTATTATCATATAAACCAGAATGTTTATAGAAACGAATTACATATATCATTCGGAAGTTTCGTTAACTACCGAGTAGAAAATGTCATAAATATATTATTTTATCTAAATTCTGCGATATTTGTGTGACAATATTTTCTGTTAAATTACAAATTGCTGCTAACTTGGAAAAGACTCTTACATAAGATTTGTATATATATCAGGTTTTGGCAGTACGGTAGATGGGTCGACGTAGTGATCGACGATCGATTGCCCACCTGTCGTGGAGAATTAGTGTATCTTCATTCGGCCGAGAATAATGAATTCTGGAGCGCCCTTCTCGAAAAAGCATACGCAAAACTTCATGGTTCCTACGAGGCATTAAAGGGTGGCACAACCTGTGAAGCCATGGAGGATTTCACTGGTGGAGTAACAGAAATGTACCAAATGGACGAAACGCCACCGAACTTGTTTAATATTCTGTTAAAAGCCTTTGAGAGAAACTCTTTACTGGGTTGTTCTATCGAGGTGAATAAGCAGTCATAAGATTTATTATTATCGTAGGTTTCAATTGATTATTACTTTGATCCATTTTCCTATTAGCCCGACCCCAACGTACTGGAGGCTGAAACACCTCAAGGATTGATACGCGGTCACGCATACAGCATCACTCGCGTGAAGAACGTGGAGATCCAGATGCCAAATCGGTACGGTACCATACCTTTATTGAGGCTTCGAAATCCTTGGGGAAACGAGGCAGAATGGAATGGGCCTTGGAGCGATCAGTGAGTATTCTCCCCCTATGTTTCGACAATTATGATTTCAAGTTCACGCTTTCGTCATCTGTCGATAGATCACCAGAATGGAGATTTATCCCCGATCATGAGAAAGAGGAACTTGGCCTGACATTCGACATGGACGGTGAATTTTGGATGTCGTTCCATGATTTTATTCGCCACTTCACGCAACTCGAGATATGCAACTTGAATCCCGACTCCTTAACGACGGACGATATCAGCGCCGGGAAAAAACGCTGGGAGATGAGCGTGTTTGAAGGAGAGTGGGTGCGCGGAGTGACAGCGGGTGGTTGCAGAAACTTTTTAGGTGAGATATATAAATATAAAATACATCGTGTGATATGATTCAATTAATATATAATAAATTATATAAATATAATAATAAAATATATAAATTAAAAATAAACGTGTTGATAAGGGCTACGAACCAAAAGACAACATGTAAATATGTAAATATAAGATATAATATAATTATTAAGAACTAAAACAAATTAAATAACAAACGTCATATCGGGTCTTCAATGTTACACAAAAATATACATATTTAAATTATAAACGGTTCAACTAATATATAAAAAGATAAAAAGTATAGACTTCTGGTATAAACTGGTCACTTAATTGCATCCTGTCGTTATTAATCTGATTAAGCAATGATATAGCGCATATTATAAAATGTCAAACTAATAAACTTCTTATTTAAAAATGTCATAGTGCGCAAAAAAAAATTCTCAGAAGTATCGTAATGAAAATAGTATCAAGTCAAATTCTATAAAAACGGTGAGATAATAAGTGACCAGTTTATATCAGAAGTCTGTACTTTTTTATCTTTTTATATATTAGTTGAACCGTTTATAATTTAAATATGTATATTTTTGTGTAACATTGAAGATGACCCGATCGGGCTCGAAATGACGTTTGTTATTTAATTTGTTTTAGTTCTTAATAATTATATTATATCTTATATATTTACATATTTACATGTTGTCTTTTGGTTCATAGCCCTTTTTAACACGTTTATATATAAATATATCGAACTGGTCAAATTTCGTAGGAGCATTCTCGTTAAACAAAAAACATATATTTTGTAGAGACCTTTTGGCATAATCCGCAGTACCGTATTACATTGGAGTCTCCAGATGACGATGATGACAAATGTACCGTAATTGTCGCTTTGATGCAAAAAAACAGAAGAGCGCAAAGAAGGATGGGTGCTGATTGCCTCACTGTTGGATTCGCGATATATCATGCATGTGAAATTAATAGATCCTTATATAATGTCTAATAATACAGCACAATCGAATTATAAATTTGATTTATTTGAAAATTCGAATATTTATCTTCGACATTTCGAAGAAAATAAAGTTTCATTACCGTTGATAAATTATATTTTTTATCATATAGCTTTTTACTGAAAAACTAATAGGTAAAATGTCATTTTCAAGAAACACATGAATTTTCAAGAAATCGATGTTAGAAGATGAAAAATAAAAAATAAAAAATATTTTCTATTAAAAGTCTATTTTTTTTACAGTTAGACTATCCGGAGAGGCTACCAAAACCACTAGACATTAATTTCTTCAAGTACAACGCATCTGTTGGACGTTCACCGGCATTTATAAATTTACGAGAAGTTACGTGTCGTTTCAAATTGCCACCAGGTGTTTACTGCATAGTTCCGAGTACTTTCGATCCAAACGAAGAAGGTGAATTCTTGCTGAGAATCTTCTCTGAGAACAAGAATAATATGGAGTAAGTTCTGTTGCGATATTGCAATATAACAACACGATGTTAAAGAACTTTTATCAAAGTGTATCTGTTTATTTACAGAGAAAATGATGAAGAAGTTGGTATTGGAGAAGTTGATGATAGGGTAAGGGTAATAATAGATTAATCCTAAGCAATACGAATTATTTTGTTTATTGTATAATATTAAATGGAGGGATGATAAAAAAATCTCTCAGATCATATTTTAAATCAGAAAGTTCCAATGGAAATTTTAAGGATGGTTGTGTACAAAGTTCTTACACATTAGATTGTCAGCTTATACTAATGTTTAGGATTGATAAATCATACTAATGCGACAAATCACACAACTTAAGACATTTATTAATAATTCAACAGCACTGGCACTGACAGCACTAATGATTCAGTTTGATGAATATATGCATTGTGTGTCAAAAGAGTGTAATCATAGATTAGAAATGCATTAAATCAATTTATGTTAAATTGCACAAAGAACGTAGAATTAACCAACACTATGCAATTAAGTCTTTGTATTTAGCTAATGCTTGCAAAATTTAATGCTGTCGTACCATCTGATAATTGACTCACGTGAAAAATGTCGTTCACAATGGTAACTAATCACTAACGAGCCGCACGTTTATATTGCTTGGCTTTTAGATAATTAATCCTGCGGGTGGTAAGGAGGACCAAAACGGAGATAACGTAAGTAAAACGCATGCTTGTATGTTGAGACAACAGAAAGCTCTAATATGTTTTATATATGAGTAAGAAATTAAGCCCATTCTACATCGCAAGCCGATCGCAAGTTTTTTTTTGTTGCGACAGCCAATCTGAAGCTTGCATTTTGAAATCAACGCTTCACATTAACTGTTGCAACAAACTTGCGATCCGCTTATGTCTAATGTAGAATGGGCTTTAAAGAAATAGGATTGCGTTCAGGAATTCAAGGCATTATCGTTTTATGCTTGTTGTTCACCGAATGTTAAACAAAGATAAAATAATACTTAGTGCGTATCCTGGTGAACACAGTCTTGGATTCGATTTCGCTACAACCGCTTTGATTTGAAAATACGTGTAGAACATAATATAAATAAGTATAATGAGTATACTATGAATGTATGTATATACATATGATAGAAATCAAATTCATTAATAACAATCAATAAGAAATAAAGAGAAAAAAGAATAAGTTCATTACGTCCATGTTTTAAATCCACTTGTGATTTACAGCTATTTTCGCATCTTCGAGAAGATGTTATTACTATTTTTCAAGGCTCGTACTGCATATGTAAATTTTACGTACTAATGGAAAAAAACTAATAAGTCAAAATATTTTAAGTTGTGTTTAAATATTGTAATTTAAAAATAGTTACAAAGTGAAGTCAATTCAAATTTCATGATGCAGTTTTTAAACATGTCATAGATTAAGATTGTTTTTATGTTTTGTAACGAAATATTTTTTCTGTATTTGTAGGTTCCCAATGAACCTGAGCAAGATCGCAATGGCGAGAAAGTCCGAGAATTCTTCAAGAAACTTGCTGGCGATGATTTGGAAGTGGACTGGACGGAACTGAAAGATATCCTAGATTACGCCATGAGGAAAGGTAAATATTGTCTGCGCGCTGTAAGATATATCTTGATGTAAAAAAAAGAGTATGTACAGTTCTAAATACGAGTATGTATAGTTCCCGTACATGATCGTATTTTATTCTAATTATAAGAGCTTTGCTTCGTAGCTTTTTGTAATTTTTATGCTTAATTTGCTCGATGTTTCTCATTGATAAAATCATACATTTTTTAAATAATGCTTTGTCATTAATCTTATAGTTTTTATATTTTATCATCTGCACCGTTTATTTTTAGCCTGATAGCCGATTAATTTACTACAAATTTGCTCCTCGTTATAAATTACTTTATTCTTTCAGCACACTGTACAGCATTTTATAATCATTCAATAATCATATCAAAAGTTCTGCATGCTTATCTTTTACCTTGTAATTTGTATCTACAATGCATAAATACATTTGGGTCCTTTAGATAATTGGTATAAGTCTAATATCAATATTTCGAAAATTTCTTCATTTAATTAGATCAATTAAAAATTATTTAAATAGTCGAAAATAATTATAATAATGCAATCTTTTAATAAACAAGCATAGATCGAGCATATATTATACAAGTGATATATAAGTTTCTGTTAAAAATATTTAATTCTCGTAGGAACTAGATTATTAGAGACTATATAAAAGTTAGAGAAATAGAGATTGTAATTTAAAGCAAGACGTGAATGTTACGTGGATTCTTATGGCCCAAGTGTACGTATGTAAAATTCGAAGCTAACATGTAGCTGTGTGTTACGGGTAGAGTTACCACAATTGGCGCATCGTAGCGAGGCACATGTTCCCGAAACTGTTGAAGGAAATGGTTCGTTTGTCGACACTCTCATCTCACTGCTGTGCGGCATTGTTTGTAATAATGAACAGTACAATAAGCCCGTAGGTAAGACAAATACATCTCTTACCACAGGATTGTTTTACCAATTGCGTTACGCCGTGATGATTATATCCCACTTGTTTGATTATTTATTCCTATGTTAATACACGAAACGCGCTTTCATCAGCATTCGTATGGTGAACTGATAGTGACAATGTCATAATGATGTTAGCAGGTTGACATTTTATGTCTCCCACAAGGTAGGACAGAACTTTCCGATGAAAAATACCTACCGCATGCTTTTATCAATTAACAGAGAATGAAACATTAACGAATTGCTTAAATTCGTCAGCACACGTGTAAAGTTTGCAATGTAACTGTATCATAATCGTTGAATTTGTCATCTCTATTACATAATTGAAGACATTACTGTTTTTTACCACATTTGAAAAACTGTAAGATAATACTCTTACGTTTTTATTTTAATTTTATGTGAATTTTTTGTACGTATTTAAAAATTTTTATGTCAGATATTGCAAGATATCTCTTACATGAAGATTACAACAAGCAAAATGAGTTTTTCCTTTAAATTACAGAGACTCACGACAGAGGTTTCAGTAAAGATATATGTCGCAGTATGGTTGCTATGTTAGATGCAGATCACTCTGGCAAACTCGGTTTTGAAGAATTTAAAACGTTGTGGAATGATGTTAGAAAATGGAGGGTAAGTGCAAAATCTTTCAATTTGTAATTCTTTATCTCATGAGATGTTTGTATACCTAATATTTTTATGATATTATAAATATTTCAGGCTGTTTTCAAGTTGTACGACAAAGACGAATCAGGATATTTAAATGCATTTGAATTAAGACAAGCGTTAAATAGCGCGGGATACCGTTTAAACAATCATATTCTTAATATATTGATTCATCGTTATGGTACTAAAGATGGCAAGATTACTTTCGACGATTACATAATGTGCACGGTCAGACTTAAAACAATGATTGGTAAGTGAAACTTGCATTTATCTAATAATTAATCTCTATGTATCATTTATATATTAACTATTAAAATATATATTATCTTTTAATATATGTTAACACGTTTTTATTAATACGTGTATCAATATTTACAAATTAATTATATGTTTATGTCATATATAGATATATATATAATTTATATAATTATTATTAAGTAATATTAATATAAACATAAGATAAAACCAGTTATTACAATATTGTAGATATCTTTAGAGAGAGAGATCCAGATAAAACCCAAACAGCTACGTTCACCTTGGAAGAATGGATGGAAAAAACACTCTATTCGTAATAAAATATAAATTCAATTTACCATAAACTTGAGAATCTTTCTAATACCAATGTATCAGATTGTGATGATAAATGGCCGGAACTATGAATGAGAAATATTTTTTTATGGAGAACCGTAAAAGAGAATATACTTTATAAGTTGAGAGATTATGTGTACCTACACAAAGCTTTATTAATTTCTCCGAACTAATGTTGTAAAAGCATTCATATGACTTCACACACATGCAGTATATGATCAATTTAGGAATGAGAAACTGTCTTTATACATAAGAATATATAAATATTTCATCTGTAATAATTATGTTGATTTATATGTGGAAGAATATGGTATCGCGTGCCTTAACATATTTTAAGTAATTGCAACATTATCATTAAAATTTATTGTAAAAATATAAATAATTTATTGGAACATATAATGTGTATATATTAACTGATCCGTAGATTTATGCGTTTTTAATTTGAATACTACATAAAGCAACAATTCAGTCTTATTAATTTTTACAATTTCATTTATCTTATAAAATTGATAAGAAAATATAATGAAAAATAGGTGAAGAATGCACGTGAATGTATATGGTCGAACATTGCAGAATACAATTATAAAAATACATTTTCAAAATAAATCAATATTAAATTGCATTCAATATACTAAATAAATCAAATTCGTATTTATATGCTATGTTTTTATTATACACATTCGGTTTCACTGAAATACGAAATATTATAATTCAATGTTATTTTAAATTGCATTATTTTCAATAGCACTTCATTAGTGATGTTAATATGTATATACCTATATATATTTAATAATCTTTATTGTATTTCTAACGAGTACTTCTAAAGAACCCTGTTTTTTTTAGCTAAACTTCTTGCACGGTTCATCTTTTCTCGTTTTCTCTTCAAAGGAGAAAAAAGGAAGAAAGATGAACCGTTCGAGAACTTTAGTTAAAAACAATAGATCTAAGAACTTCTGCTTCGTATAATATTACTTAGCTACTTTTTAACAAAGCAACTATATAAGACAATCTAGCTTCTCTCCTTTATTTCTTTACCTCTATAAGTGAAAAACAAAATAATTATCTATTTGCATTACTTATATATTTGGCATTCAGTATCTTACCTTTCTTCTCTTCAGAACCCAAATTAATATATCATTTATTATCTCATTTTAAGTGCAACAATTTTTGAAGATTTCGAGCAACGCCAACGGATCTATTATCGATATTACTTTATAGTTATTAAAAATTCTCGAATATCCATATATTGGAAATTACGAGTAAACTTGAAATTGAAATAATCCCATACAGCACAGAATTTACAGCAATATCGCTGTAAAATCTCTGCAATATTGCTGCAACATCTAATGTTGCTGCAATGTTACAGCAGTGTTGCTGTAACTTTTGTGCAACTTTGTGCTGTAGGGGATGTTTTATCGAATATATGTTTTATTGAATAGTAAATAATATTTTATCGAAGTATATCGCGGATTTTTGAGATGAATAAGTTTCAAGAATTCTCATTGAAAGGGGTATTCAAGGACTCGCGAAAATTTGCGTATGCTATTGCTGGAGTATTTGCGTGTAGTAGTATTGCGCTTGCGCGCTACGATTGTAAATAAAGTTCCGCGTAGGAGTTCGCGGCGGCGAACTTGTGATGTTGCAGTGATTATTTTGCTCGAGATTGTCAGAGATGTGGAATCGCTCGAAGTGCTTGAGATAAGATTTGCCTTTGGACTGATGATCTTTGCGTTTGGTTGCAGTCATGCTGTTGTACGCGACAAAAAATTAGAAGCTCCATTCGATTGGAGTGAACGTGAAAACGCGTAATATTGTGTCACGCTTGATGTTAGTATGCATTAGCAACGTTTGAGCCAGTCATTGCGATCAACCGCGATCAACGTAGGTCTGTTTTCTGCTTGAATTAGTGTACACACATCCACGTGTTACACTTGGAACAAAACAGTCTCATGCCACGAGGTTGAAAGTCACCTATGGTCAATATGGTATCTTCGTGGTGTTATTTCATACTTCCAATGGTCTTGCTCATCGGCTTGCTACGCAAATGCCGAGAGCGCACTTGGGGAAAATGCAAGAGCACCAACAATCTACAAGACCGGGTATTCCTTGTGACCGGTGCCAACTCCGGCATCGGCAAGGAGACGGCGAAGGAATTGGCCAAACGAAAAGCCACGATCATCATGGCCTGCAGGGATGTACAAAGCGCGACGAATGTCATAACAGAGATACGCAGTAAAATATCTACTGGCGAATTGGTGATCATATAATCTTTCTTTAATAAAATTGGACCAATAACCTTTACGTATCGAATTATACAATTCTATCTCTATATTACTTTTTATCCGTCTTTCTTACTTTCTAACTAATGTATACGTATGTATATGATTTATCCCTATTCATACAGATTCCTATGGAGTTGGATCTTGCATCTTTCTCGTCGATTAGAAAATTTGCCAATGAAGTGCTAAAGAAATTTTCCCAAATTCATGTGTTGATTAATAATGCCGGGGTATACGCACCTCTGAAAGATCACGCTTTGACGAAAGATGGGTTTGAGATCCATTTCGGAGTAAATCATTTGGGTCACTTTTTGCTTACCAATTTACTTTTGAATCGTCTGAAGGAAAGCGCTCCTAGCAGGTTAGTATAAAGTGCAATATTCTAGAGTGACATTGAAATAGTGACATTGAAACGTTGAAAGAGCAGCAAAAAAAAAATATTGAAATAAAACTTTTTGTACAGAATAGTGGTAGTGACATCCAAGCTTTTGGAATCTGGAGTAATAGATTTTTCAAACTTGAATGGCGAGAAAGGATTACCGGTAAAAAGCAGAATGAATCCTGGCTATTGTAACTCAAAGCTTGCAAATGCATACTTTGCCACTGAGCTTGCAAAACGAACAGAAAATACCGGTGTTAATGTGTACATGGTGTGTCCTGGATTTACTTATACTGGTTTATTCAGAAACGTGAAAAGAAGCTGGTTTCATTATATCATTTTCTCGCCTGTTGCTCTTATGTTTCTACGCACTGCAAATCAGGTAAACGTACAAATCTCATCTCACTCAACATGTGATCCACCTTTAGAAAAAAATCTTTTTTTTACCTTTATTGAACTCTTTTATCTACGAAACTAGTACGAGTAAGAGGACTTTTCCCACACAGCATGAAATATCTATGTGAATCATTTTTTGAAGTATTTCAATAAAATATTTCGTAAATGTTTATAAAACATTTTAAAATATTGCATTAAAATATTTCGCAAAAATATTTTAGAAATATTTGTGAAATATTTCATGCTGTATGGATTATTACTTTCTATTACAAATTAATATTTACAGGGTGCGCAAACGGTATTGCATTGTGCAACAGAACCGTCATTGTCTGAGGAAAGTGGACATCTGTATCGCGATTGTAAACTTTACGTCTCTAAAAAAGGTCTAGACCCAGAAGTAGCACTCCATCTGTGGGAAGTAAGTGCGAAATCGACTGGTTTGAAGGAGATTGTGAAATAAATGATTTTAGAATACACGCGCATATTGTATATGTACAATCGACAGTAAAATTGCTGTTCTGTTCTGGTGTAGTGAGGAATTGTACATGTATCGAGATCCCTCTTTTTCTCCAGCTGATTGATTAATTGCTGAAAGAGAAGTCACAGTGAGACTTTTAAAGGAAAAAGCTCGATACAAATGCAATCTTACTCACTACATGTGAATTAGAGGACACTTTTACTCTTCATAGTGCCATTTCACTTTTGTTGTATTTCAAGCGATTATTCAATATTTATTTTTATATATATAGCGAATAGGAACTAGATAGATAATGTCGATGTGGCACGTTCTTATTTCCATTTTTATGTATTTAAATTACAGCGAATAGATTTTTATATATATGTATATTTTAAGATAAGATGTATATCTTCTATTTTGGTGTATATGTATATTTATCTTTATATATTAGATACTCTCAACTCTTCTAAATTCTATAAATCCCTTACAAGTGCGGCCTTCTGTTTTTTTTGGCATTGAACAATCCGATGTAAAATATAAACTCTCAAAATTGAGCATATAGAAAAGATGTGTATGTATTTAGAATAAAATACTATAGACAGAGCCTTTAATATATATATAGCCTTTAAATCTTTAAAATTTATCAAATATAATTATGCGTTAATTGTCGTGAGCATCAACTAAATTTAATTCAAATTGATTTTCTGTTCCTAATTGTTTTACTGTTTATATATCTTTTATATTTTCACACAAGTATATTCTTGAATAAAAGTTGAAGGTTAAAACATTTATACAATGAGTTTTAAAATATCCCAATATTATAAAATTGAAAGTTATAGTGCTTTCACTGTATTGAACAGAGATGTAAAAAAATGGTATTTTTTACTTCGGAGAAAAGTATCTAGTAAAAAACGGTATTTTTGACCAAATTACATAAAATTCGTAAAAAAACGTTCAGAATTCATGTTAATATGTAGAAGAAATAGAATTCATTTTTCTCGTTATTTCGATGCTATTTAATACTTTTGTCTTTATAATTTTATTGTCTCATTAATTTAAATTTAGAATATGTATAATTACAATCACAGTATACAACATAAACAGTCAATTAGTCTAGTAAAGTATTATTTGTATTAATGGTACAGTATGGACCACTCTTATTTAACTTTTAAAATTGGAGTACATATTAAAATTGGAGTACAGTATAAAATATTATTCAAATAATAGTGAAAGGTAAGGTATATTTATGACCACCGGCATTATACTATATTAATTATTATACAGTATTTTAACCTTTATAATTATTTTTACACAGAAATCTTACGGATAAATGCAAAAACTAAATTCTGGAGCAATAGTACGGCGTCGTGGAATGCTAAAAAAAATCCGAGTAAAAAAACTGTCAAAGCCAAAGGAAAAAAAACCATTATTTTCAGAGTTTTTTACCCTAAATTCTAGTTTTTTTCTATCGCTTACATCTCTAGTGCTGAAACTTCACATGTATCATCTACCAATGCAGTTTAATTTTAATCTCAGAGTTCAACTAATTCATCTTTTTCTAGTGACAAAGAGAGGAGTAGAGGAGGTGGAGGGTTTATTTTCAAAATCTTACAGCTGTTCCTCGAATAAAATTTTATTATAATTCGTGTTCCTTGCCTCAAATAATTATTTCGACGCCACTATAGTGAGGCTCACTGGCTTTCCGTCCTATAAAAAAAAATGCGTTTTAATTCTCTCGTTACCGGCTGTATGCCGGTTTTATGAAGGATTCACACGCGTGCGACACACATAATAAGTCCAATGGGCGTCCAATGGACAAACGCGTTCCTTAGAGACCCCAGCTGGGGACGCTAGAAAACGGATGTTCCTACTGGTCGTAGATCGTGTAAAGTGCAAATTTCCAATTAGCCAATCGCTTTTCGTTACGTTCTGTCATTCGGGAAAAAAAAAGACCGAGTCGGTTGGTCGTGTTATCGCTTATCGCGCGATACTTGCTGCTTCTATGCGAGAAATATCGTTGTCGTTGGAAACAGATTCCAGCTGATCGGCGCTTCTGCGAAGAAGCGTATTTCGAAGCGGTGCGATGTGATTTGTTAAGTTCGAGGCGGAATCGCGATTCGACCGTGTTGGAGTCCGTCCGGTTCGTCGTCCAAGAGTGGCCCAAGACTCGGCAAGCTGTTGCAGGCCAATGCAGGCTTCGAATGCGTTTTCCGCTCGCGTTGTTTGACACCATTCCGCATCAACGGGACGTTGGCGAAACGTTGCTTCACGCATCTATCGAACGTACGCGGCAACGTTACGTTAGACGTTGCGGGACCGCAGCACGTACTGTGGTACCACTTTGTAACATACAATCGGGACGATCTGCGATTTCACTCTTTAGGCCTTCCTTCCTTTGTGCGTGGCGAATCTTATATTACGCAGACATTCGTCTCCGAGGAAAAGTTGCCGGTTGCTCGCACTCTGTGCACGATATCTCGATTAATTTTCAACGACGACATACGCTCGTATTTCGCTGTATTACACCAGACTATCGTTCGAGATCCCTTCGTGACTAACCTTGCGGAATGCACTTGGCGTCCAGCGAGACATAATTGCGAGTCTCTCATTGTCATCGAGACGTTCTTGCTGTGAGTGATCGCTCGAATGCGCGATATGAGTTCCTCTCATTAACTAATAAAATAAGCCAATATCAGAAAATTAGAAAAAAAAAAGATTAGAAAAATACGTACGTCCATGTAAGTATACTATTGTAATGTGTAGAACGGCATGTTGACACGTTTGGTAGAAATTGAATCTGATTGTCGATAAGACTCTTATTAGGTATTGATGATATCGAAATTCATTTGTAATGAACATTTTTTCGCGTACATACAATGATCCCTTGTCTATGCATTGAAATCCATTCGAGTTATTTTAAATAATACATTTAAAAGAAATTTTATTATTTTTTGATAGCTTTGTACGTTTACTGTGTATTACATATGAATATGTATCATTATAATAATTTACCGAGAACATTTACCATGTACATATGTAGAAATATTGCATTATGTAAGTTAGCGTATTACCAAAAATTGTAGCAAATAGACTTTGGAAGTAGCAAATTGTGTTTATCGCTAATTTTTAAAGTCTGTTTTTTATTCTTGCACTAGACTGCACTAGAACTTTTCTCACTTTTATTAAATATTAAATATGTATCTTTCTCTTTAAATATATACTAGTGTATACTAGTTCAGCTACAAAAAACAGATCTTTAGTTGCTTAGGCCGGAATCAGACTACGCATTGAAGATTGAGATTGAAGATTGACAAATTCAAATTTAACCAATCGAAACGAAAGGAGCTAAAATTTCTTTGTCCTTATTGGTCAAATTTCAATCTTCAATCTTCAACCTCAATCTTCAATGCGTAGTCTGATTCCGGCCTTACACTACTCTGCATTAGTGTTCGAAAAAGCATTACACATATATGTATATATATATATATGTGTATATATATACACACACACACACACATACACACACACACCCACACACACACACATATATATGAAATTACATTATTTGTAGAAAGCATAATATAATGTATATTGATGAATAATACTGAAAGATATCAGATACATATTCCATTTAAGAATGTGATGGATGATATTGATATTGGCTATTTTTTTAGATATTTTATGTTTTTATAATTTTAATAACTTCAGCTTTTAGTGTATGCAAAGTAGTCAGGTAATTAAATTTGCTATAGGTGATGTGTTATAAATTATGCAATAGGTTGCTTATCTATTTACGATAATTTTTATGTAGAAATTTTTATGTAGAAATATTTTAATTTACGTCCTGCAACAGAATTATGTATTTCAATTCTATATATAATAATGATTAATATTCTTAAAGAATAGTATTTTACTGTGCTATAATATATACGTAGTAGTATTTCTTATTTAATTAGAGTGTCGGGACGAAATTAAATCATTGGTGAATGCGAGTAACAATAAAATAAATGTATATATAACTTTATATATATTTATATTTGTAATTTATTAAAGAATATAATTTATATGTTAATTGGAAGACATAAATATATGATCTCTTTGCATTCTTTAATTTTATACTAAACATCTGCTTTTTATTTTTAATTACAAATGTATATGTAGACATCCTTAATGTTATAAAAATTTGTCTATGACAAGTATAAAATATACGTGATATACTACTAATGTACATGATATATATATATGTTATTTTAATGATAACATTTTTACATAATTAATATTAAATAAAGCACTTCAGAAAATGTATACAAGCGGCATTTATTAAAAAATAAATGAAAAAATAAAATATAAAATTATTAATATCCTTGACATGTTCTTGTTTGTACAAAGTTGTAAGATCTTTTATGTACTTTATTGCTATCATATATTTGTATCAAATAAGTTTATCTCTTATGATACAATTTTGATAGCAAAAAGAATCCTGTTACAAATATTGGATGAATCTTTCTACATGATGAGTCGTATTTTTGTCAAGTTGTAGTAAATTTTTAATATACATATGAATGATTTAATAGCGATAGGATGCCGCCAAGACGAGCAGAAGATGTGCCTATGAAGAGAATGGCAGCTGCAGGTTGTAAATTACCAGCGCAACTGCCAGCAGGAGAAATCTTGACGGATATTACACAGAATAAATGGAGATTAGGGAATACCATTGGATATGGTGGTTTTGGAGACATATATCTCGGTAAATATTCTTATATTTGTAATCTGTTTTCACTTATAACTTTGAAATATAATCCATATTCTATAGTCTATTATAGAACTGTGTATTAATCGTTTGTTTCTTTTTCCATAGCCTCTAATGACATTACATCACCTGTTGGTCAAGATGCAAAGTATGTTGTAAAGATTGAACCTCATAATAATGGGCCATTATTTGTCGAAATGAATTTTTATATAAGAGCAGCACGGAAGCACATGAGTAAGTAACATACACATAATTAAATTTACATATATAATATTATAATTTTATGTACACACACACACACACACACACACACACACACACACACACACACATACTTACATCAAATGATTATATTTTTTATGTTTTGATATATTTTACAGTCAAAAGTTGGTGCGAATCTCAGGGAAAGAAAAGAATTGGTGTACCTACATATGAAGGATCAGGATCTCATTTTTACGGAGGTCAACGATACAGGTTTTTAGTAATACCTCGTTATGGCGTGGATATCGGAAAATTATTTCTGTCGCATAGAAAGAAATTACCAACAAGACTTGTTAATACGTTAGCTGTACAAATGGTAAATTTCACACTTGGAATTGCGAGTTTTGTGATTAATTGTCGATCGAGGTTGCAGTTTAATCAAATTCTTTTTTTTTTTAGCTTGATGCATTGGAATATATTCACAGTAAAGGATATGCTCATGCAGATATTAAGGGACCAAATATCTTGTTATCATATGGGAACGAAATAGGAAAGGAAAAGTCGATGGCGTACTTAGTGGATTACGGATTGGCATATCGTTTCCGTACAGGAACTGGTGAACATAAACCATTTGTACATGATGAGAGAAGAGCTCACGAGGGTACTTTAGAATTTACATCGCGGGACGCTCATCATGGAAGTATGTCAATCATTTCAGTAACGTATATTACAATTGCACATTGCAATTTTTTTTGTATATCAAGATTATAAAAATAAAAGATTTTCTTCCTTCAAAAGAGCTGACAGGAATAATTGAACTGTTTATCTTAGAATTTATTACATAAAAAACAATTTAATGCATAACTTTATTTGACGAACTGAGCTTTTTCCTATTCCTTTCGACTATTGTTAAATGAAATATTAATTTAGTCTCTCATTCAATAAAATATTTTTCAGCACATTCAAGGAGAGGAGACTTAGAGACTTTAGGTTATAACATTATACAATGGTTGTGTGGAAAGCTACCTTGGGAGAAAGGTAGTGATGAGATAGGTTTTACTATGAATCCCGAAGAAGTTCATCAACAAAAAGAGATTCTTTTATCAGACTTACCTCTATTTATGGACAAGTGCTTTCCTGACAAGAAAAAACCACCAGGTCAGTAAAAATATAAGTATAATAAAAATATATATAATATATACATATATACATATACATGGTGGGGCAATAACTTTGTCCATCTGAAATATCTTCTAATCTATAAGGCGTAGAAAAAAATTTATATAATCAAAATTACACGATGTAAAGGGGGCTATCATATGGTGATAATTTTTGTCCAGGTGGAAGCGGTTCGGAGATTTCAAGGTCAACTTCATTTTTTTAAATGGAATTATATAAATTTTTTTACACAATATGATTCTTCTAATTATTTTGCATAACAAAGTATTAAGATCATGGTATCGAAAAATCAATAGTTTACGAGATATTTTATACCTTATTCTGGCACATATTGACATAAAATGTTAAATAACTCGTAA